TCGCCTAAGTCGTGGATTTCCCGCCGCGCATTTGCCACATGGCCTCTGGCTCCGCCCAGGGTCTGTGAGCCGCCCACAATGTATGGTTTCTGGAGGCTCCTTTCTTTTCGGAAATAGTATCTTCATGCATGAAACCTTGTACGATGCGACATATTGAAACCCTTAGTGGTGATATCCGTACGACACTCCGTTCGCGCTGAAGCCCGTGCAACACTCGCACTCATAGGGAAGAGCAGCGAAAGATAAAATCAAGAAATCGTCATTTGTCGCAAGCGTTAAGTTTTAAAAAATCCAATGAAGCTCAATTCCAGTTCGTCAACGTCGCAACAGCGTTTTTTTTTCAGTAACCAGCCACTCTTGCTTTCTGTTGTGATTACCCCTTCTTTACTCCAGTAACCTTCCTCCACTTCCTTTCTCTAACAATCAGGCGCAGTGATTGGAAAAACCCAACTGAATCGGAGAATCTGGATAACTTTGGAAAGAAAATCGAGAAAGTCGCAGAATTTTTCTACAACTTGTTATATGAATATCTATTGAATATAGAGCAATACATTGAGTATAATGGACTAAATGAACATATTTTTGTCGCGCAGCTGTATCCTAGGCTAGTACATACCATGGTACCAAATGCCGCAATCCTGGGAGTGGTGAATTAGCCAAACCTGGACTATCATAAAATCACGCCGAAGTGAAATAAGGCTTAAGTTGGGGAGCGTGATGCGATGTAGCAGAAGTTGAAAATCGTGACCATTTCAGACGACTATCACTGAGGACAACGAGTAATTAATCGGAGGGAAGATTTAGAGGCCTCCACGATTCTTACCAGGAAGGTCTTTCAGGGTGTGCCAAGCTTTTTCAAAACGGTCTTTTGCATGATATAGGGGCACATGCGGGAACCACAGAACCATGTTAATTTTTCCTGAACGGCCCTCTGAATACCAGAAAAGGGGTCCCTAGTTCGATTCCTCGTGGTGACAAATTTTTGCATTTCGAGTTGACGTTTCAAAATTCGCGCAAAATGGAGTTAGCATGAATAATTAGTACCATATTCATGATTAGGACCGTCAGTAACCCTTACAAATAGACTTTGATTAAAAAACTGGTGAAAAAGGTGTGACACCAAAGTGGGGCCTGGTGTCACACCTTTTTCACCACTTTTTCAATCAAAGTCTATTTGTAAGGGTTACTGACGGTCCTAATCATGAATATGGTATTCATTATTCATGCTAACTCCATTTTGCGCGAATTTTGGAAACGTCAACTCGAAATGCAAAAATTTGTCACCACGAGGAATCGAACCCCCTTTTCTGGTATTCAGAGGGCCGTTCAGGAAAAATTAACCATGGTTCTGTGGTTCCCGCATGTGCCCCTATATCATGCAAAAGACCGTTTTGAAAAAGCTCGGCGCCCTGAAAGACCTTCCTGGTTAGTGCCGAAATTTACATGCGCAAACGCGGGCATGTTTAGCTAGTTTTACTCCAAGCATGAACCATTTTCGTCATGTTTCCGACCAGTCATTAACAAGCGTGGGGTGCTTATACGTACAGAAGGTGACGCCATCAGATGATGGACTAAACAAATGACAAAATGTGCTTGCTGAGGCTGGTGTCAGAGTCCGCGATCCGCCGCAGGTTTCGATTTTCGCGATTTGCGCGATTCACGCGATTTGCGCGAAACCTGCGACGGATCGCAAAAATTGCAAGTGCCCCATTTGAACATTTGAAACACTGAATATGAAACAAGTGGAATCATGAGCAGTCGTCATTCAGCCATCACTATCAAGCAGAAGTGGCGGCAGGATTGGAGAACACCTTGCAGTATTGATCGGGCACTTGTGATTTCCGTGACCGCGCAAATCGCGAAAATCAGCGAAACCTGCGATGGATCGCGGACTCTGACACCAGCCTTGACGGATCAACTATCTCTGAAGGGTAACCACAAACTAACGTTAGGACCCACTTTCAAAAAAAGTGGCCGACAATCAGCCGTCGCTGTTGTCCCTAGCCACTACTCTTTTCTACCATAGACGACAGCGTAAATTATTATTATTAATGTAAATTTTTGGATGATGCAAGCTAGTAAGAAAAACGCGTAAATTCTTCCCACATGTATAACTGAAAGTAATTCTATCTCACGACTAGACTCTGACCATGGGTTGATGAATAGTGACTGCCCACATTTTCGACTTCAGTCAAAATTTTAGATTTGGACCAAATGTTGTTGAAAGGGGTGTTTCGACGCGCTGAACACGAATATCGCATCTGCTTGGCACGAAATTGCCTGACGCGTGCGCTACGGGTACCAGAGGCGGTCATTTGCAAATGACGCGCACAGTGTTCGAAGCTCTTCGCCAGCTCTTTCCACTTGTATATAGGCAATCGCTGATGACTTAGCATGGATAAGAGTCCCTTAACAATGTTCTCAAGAAAAGCAAAAGTGAGAACTCGCCAAGAAGTCGATCTCACGACCTCTTGTTCGTCGGCCCGGGCCGCTGCCACTGCACTATCTCGCTTCATAACTACGTTCAGAGAATCGTTCCGCAGATTTGGAGAGCAGATTCGAGATCAGCGTCCAAAAACACATCTAGTGTATGTCTCGTTACAAATGGCCTACTTCGACCTGATATCCTTCCCTTGATAGACTGCAGAACGAGCGCAAACTATGACCGGCCAACGCTTCTATCTCTAGGAACTGTTTTACTTGGCACCTGATGGTCTGGAACTTACTTGCACCAAACACTGCTGATCAGGAATATGAATTGAACGTGGCTAGCCACCGCATGTACAAATGGGCTTAAATGCTTGCACAATCCTCGGCCAACAAGGCTCCACTTTATGGCAGTAATAAACAGCACTCGAGCACTTTTACTGTCGCGATATAAACTGTATATTTGTAGTGTGACTTGAACGTTCTCCACTATTTTGAGAGATCTAGAAAATCTAGGAAGCGGCCTCAACAGACCTACAATAGCAAAGCATGATCGACCATAAGCCGTCAAAAAACCAAGCGTTCAAAAGACTTGATGGAGCTTGAATCCAACTGGGATTAATTAAAAGTTTGGTAGGTTTCATTACATCATCAATGAAGTTGAACATGAATACAAAAGCAACATACCACAATCATTTCTGACTCTTGCAACAGCATGCAATCCTGCGAACGTCGACAACTTATTCCATTACGTTTTCCAAAGCTGAAAAAAAATGTAGCTACCTATAAGAACTGGACACAACAATTCCGGTAGAGATGACAAAACGTCCAGGGCAGTGCCACTTCAAGGCAAGGAGTGGTGACGAAGACAAATGAGCCCGTAGTGAAGCAACCAAATAAATACCGCCAAAAAGTTGGGCGGAGATCTGCAGCAGAGCGCATTTTTCATTGAAGAAACAGTCAAAGAAGGAGGGAAATACGCGACGTGCTATGTAACAGGCGAATTAGCAAACGCAGCGACAGACGTGTATTGTGCGCAATGTCCCGTTAGTGAACACGACGCGGTATCAAATTCAGTGATCAGGGATATCAACAATCGATTAGACTAATGACACATTGCGAAAACACGCGAAATATGGCAATCGCGCAATAGATAACACCTATTATTTACACAAAGTGCAGTATTTAAGAGTAATTTTTCTTCAAGTTAACATACAAGATTAATCGAACAGAAAAACTCTCGATCTCATTAAGATTAATACAATGACGCAAAAAATTAATACAATTTCTCTATTTCACTTCCTGCCTGACCTTGCAAACTACAACAAAACAACGCGGCAAGTTCATAAATGACGCAACTCATTATGCAAAAGATGACGCAAACACAATTTACCACTCTACTGTAAATGCCGGTCTTGAACAGGGAAAACAAGCCAGGTGGTTTTGAAACTGTTTGCGCCTATACTATACTATTTACTGGTAACGGGGTATGACCTAGCCTTTATAATGTATCAGCCACATCAGCGCATTCGCCGAACAGCTCATTATGGGCCTTATGCTATGCTTCCCCGAAGCTAGGTGATCCAAAGTTTCCTTTAAATTTATTTGTTTTGAACGATATAGTTTCTTCATTTTCAGTGCATGTTTACTTTACCTACATACATACATTAAATGTAGGCCCTTATCAGGGCAATCCCAGGGGAAGAGAGAAATTTTAAAGGGATTTTCGTCCCCCAAGCCCTTCGGGGAGCATAGCATACGGCCCTATATTGTCGTCTGACTCAACAGGGGAAGGTGTACTGACAACTGGCACGACTTACTGCGTGCAATATCCAGTGTCGACGGCGAGCTAACAATAAGTTCTGCCAACTAAGCCTTTTACCTTCGGAGTCGATGAATGATACATTACATGATGAAATCGGTGCTAACTTAGTTGGGGGGGGGGGGGGCACGCGGCGGCGCGGCAGTCTGCTCACCTGGGCTCTCTCGAGCGAGACAGTGTAAACTCGAACATTCCAGCTTTTCACGCATGTCAAGTGACTGCCCCCACCCCCCCCCTAGACTGGCTACACTCCCCCTGGCCCACGGATTTCCGAACATGCCAGGCGAGCAGACTGCCGCGCCGCCGCGCCCCCCCCCCCAACTAAGTTAGCACCGAAAAAACAATAGTTTCATCTGCCGGCCCCTGCAAGCCTCTATGTAGCCCATATCGCATTCAAATGCAACTACAATCTTGAGAAAAGAGTACATGGCGCATCTCAAATGCAAAAAATAGGAAAACTCCGCGTACATAAAAGGTATGTTGACCGAGACTTAATTGGGGCCCTACAATGTTTGTGAAAAAGACGGAAGAGAAAGCGTGAACGAATGATTGACTGAACTAGGTCGGACACTTTTCGATGCAAACCACTAGCGCAATGCGAAAAATCATCCGCCAATATAACGAGATACCGATCCGATTTGTCAAGGTGAATATTTCTCACTTCGTTCTATTTCTTTTTATACAGACCTCCTTTGTCTATCGAAACAAGGCAATTCTACCATGGACAACATGATGAACACTGGAGTACGACTCACCATCCGTACGGTAAGCATATGTTGTTTTCTATCAGCACAGATCCAGAAAGGAGAATATACCAACACGTTGCCACCTGCCCTTCCCTGAAACAAACAAATTTGTTAATAACCAAACTCTGGCAACATTGTGCCTTATGGTCACAATATTTTCCAAAACGAGAAGTAATTCTGAACGAACTCAAACAGCCAATTCAAACAAATTTGTTGTTACCGAAGAATATGTTAACCATAAAACTACAAGAGGGACAGGCGATTCCTGTGTGGTCGCATGCCTCTCAAAGCAGCTCTTTCAACAACTCCGCGCGAGTCACGATCGTTCAGTTATCACGCCACTTGGCTTTTTCAATAAGAAGAACATTTACAACGTACCGATACAGTACGTGATGTCCAGCATGACGTTCGTATCGTGCATTGGCGCAAATTGCTTTCAGCGGTCCGTTATAAAGATTGGAAAACATATCAAGCTGCCTCAGCTGATCATAAATGTTGCGAATGTCCTATAATAAAACATATCAAGGTATTCGGTTAATATTAGGCGAATTTAAAGAAAAAATGCCGAACTCACATCCTGAGTTCGCTGCCGAGGAGGCTTTATCAGCGACTCATAAAATCTTGCATCATTTATAGGATCCATAGGCTGAAATGAGTCCGTAATAAGGGGGCACCCAATATTGAAAAAAATAAGTGAATCAATGAAAATATGAGGTCTCATAACTTTTGTGAGAGCCATAAAAGAGCTAAGCCAAATTGTGTGACAAGAAATTTTTGAAATCTCAAGCAACTATTGGCCGACCAAGTGAATCGGTTGACAGAATTAAGAGCAACGACAATCTTCAGAGACATGCGAGGAGTGCAACCGTTGACTGCTCTCTGCATCACGCCTACTCCCGTGTCCAATCACCACACCCCATGCATGATATGACACTTACTTGAACTGAAAACGCTGGAGTGCGAGACAGTCCCACACGGGAAGTGGCCGACTGCGGTAAAAACTTTGTTGTGCACAGTTTTCGTAGAACAAACTGAAAAATGAAATACTTGATCTACTTCGACTCATTTTGCAAGCATTCAAATGAAAAAAATGGAATGCTTGGAAGACGAACGACGCGCAAAATCGAAAGATATGTGTCTATCTGGACATGAACAATAATAATGGATTGATTATCGGATGCAGAAATGTCCGCTTCCACCTCACAAAAACCTCAACGAGACGAAAGAAAGAATGTGCCGGACAAAACTGAATAGGAGGTCAAGAACACAAACTATAGAAACGCATTACGATCATCGATCAAATCGCAAAAAGCAAAGGTAAGCGCTGAAACGAGTGAATCAATAGCCCCACTTACGCTGATTTTGGAGGGTTTAACGAAAATGTTGCGAGCAAATGTGAGTATTAGTGCTGTTCCCACTTGGTTATGGCACCCTAACTTCCAACGATAACGCCGTTTTACACTGCCAGCGTCATTTCCGTTGCTGGAACTCTTATACTTGTTTCCGTTATCGTATTCATTCGCCATAATTTCTATCCACGCGATGACTAATTCAAGGAGCATTTGCGATGACCGGAGATTTCTGAGCAAATTAGACTCTTAGGTTCACTGTTTCTCAACGATAACCAGAATACCGACACAGTGCGTGATAATCGAACTAACTCTCGAAACGAATAGTTAAGCACCGGTTCCATTAATTACGTAAGCCCATTCAGGAACTCAGTGACACTTCACACTTTGAGGCGTGACCGTGGCGAGCGCGGACGAGTCGGAGTCGTCTCCCGTACGATTCGCTTGCCGCTGGCACGCGGCCTTGACGCAGCAGCCCGCTCGCCCTCGCTTATAGCGTTCACGCCAAAGGGTGAAAAAAGTTAGAGTCCACATCCACTACAACTTCAAAATTGGTTCAATCAGAAAATAAGTTTTTAAAACGACTCAGAAGTTCGCAGGCAGGGCTTGAAGCTGATATATGTCATGTTTTTGAGAAAAATAAAGTTATCGATGCGAGGACAGTACCATAAACGAACAACGGTTTGTGAAGTAGAGCTATAAAAAAACACCGGTACATATCCGATTTATAGCAACAGGCTGGCCAAAAATCCACTCAAAAAAGACTGAAGCAGCAGTTATGAGAAAGCTTCTGAAGCGGTATAGTACGGGGCTATCAACGAGCAGTTGTTCGCGGCTTTGAGACGAAAATCACTGATCTGTACTATACATGAACTGGTCCAAGTGGGTAGCTTGATTAGACATCGTGATGCATATTTCAATGCCGCTGTGATTATGATCGCAATTTCAATGTGTGGCGCCGCCAGAAAAAGGATTGGTTAAGAGGGATTCTACGATTTAATGGCATAACTGTTATAAAGAGTCTCCATAGCATTTCAGAGTCGGAATTGGTACGGCAACAACTGATCGGTCTCCTTTCTTCCACTCGTTGTTAAATGTAGTGTCAGAATGACAAATTCTTCCGTGCCTAATTCATGTTAAAAAGCAGTCGCGCTAGCTGATAGGTGAATGAGTTCCACATGTCACTGACGGCAACATTCGAGATAAGGGCTGCAACCTTCTTACGTCCGATAGGGAGGACTGGCAAAAAGCTGTGGTGAAGCGCTCGTTTCCGGCACCTTATCAGCCAATAAAGTGCCACTGCCCCGGAAGCACCACCCGTCATCTCAATGGGTAGGTCTCCTACCGAATCCACTTCGCATCTTTCCAATTCTTTCTCACAGATTTATGACAACCACTACCCTTTCTTATATTACGCCTTACTGTTCAGCGTTTTCTCAATATCCCTACATCGCCACAATCAGTTTTGGCACAGTTTTCCTGTAGTAACACCAGAAAATTTCTTTCAAAATCTGGTGGAGTTTCGCATAGACTAAAGTTGGTCAGATTTTGAGTAGATTTCTGGTGGTCGTTCGGAGCCCTGATAACAAATATGACATGCAGTTTTAGCGTTTGCGCCGAAAGTGGCCTGACCGACACATTGAAACACCACTATAAAGTTTCGCAAGATTTTGGGTACCTAAGAGAAGAGTCGTGGTGCAGGTGGGTGTGTGTGGGTTAGAAACCTGGTCCCATCGCTTCCTGTCAACTTTCTACAGTCAGAATGTGTAGGAATGATAAAGCCATGGAAGAGCCCACAATATCAATGTATAGGCAATCTAAAGGAGCTACGCATCTTAGGATTCAGAAGTGACTGCTAAGAACCTCACAATGACGCTCGTGCCCACACGTGATGCGCTGATGGCGAGGGGTGCGTAGCGTTTCTCCTCCTGGGGTCAGGTCACCTAAAATTGAGACGCCGTTCATTCGCTCGGAGCAAGCTTAGGACTAAGCCTAGGCCCAATCATAGGCTTAGGCATAAGCCAATGTGTAAGCATAAGCCTTAACCTAAGTCTAAACCCAAACTTAACCTTAAGCTTCAATGATCGCGCAACTGTGGTGACCTGACCCCAGGAGGAGAAACGCACGTCTCCCGATAGCGAGGGGTGGCTAGCGAGAACCTGCCAAAGAGGTTCAGCAGATGATAAACGGCGACATGGTTGCAAAATGGAAAATGCGTAGCGTAAGTGAGGCAGGAACAACGATGTTGAGAGATTTGATACCGTACACCATTCGGAAGAGAGTAGTAAAACTTTAGGAAATAAGCTTCAAGATAATGAAAACATATGAAGATCAAGTGTTCTGAAATGTAGTAAAGAAACACTAGAAGGAAAAAAAATAGCTGCCACATTGGGAAGCTCATTAGTAGTCGTGTAGTAGTATGTATCAAACAGAAAGTGCACTACTGACCACAAAGAACCACAGCGTGAGCAGGGAATTCAAACCAGAAAAAAGGACGAGTTCTACATAAAAGTAAATGTGGGACAGAACAGATCGAGACAATGCGCAAAACGGAAGGAGAACAGTATTGGGAATCTAATCATTGGAAACAATCTTAACAATGGAAGCGCAGCGGTTGAGGAATCCTGGACAACAGAGCAGGACATTTACGCATCAAGCATTCAAAGCGAGAAATTGCAAACAGGAGCGGACATGACTGACCAAGAAAGGAGAGAGGAATCGCTGTGCGGAGGAGCTCCTCAAACATGACTCACTCCAAAACCACTAGCGCAGAAGCCGGACGGCGACGGTGGACTAGCATCGATTTCTGCTAACACAAAAGAGAAGTTCGCGAGATCAAATGAGAATTTGAAGCAAGAGTGTCAACAAAGATAAAAGAGAGAGATCAGTTCTCAATCCTTTCAATATTGAATACTAGGCTTACGTTTAGTTTTCGTTAAAACTCCGCCGCTCGGACGCGAGAACGACTATGCTCGTAAAAATAAAACCAGAATAGCTGAAGCCGATAAAACTGTGTCCACTTCCGGGCTAATACACCATCCACGGCGTCCTTGATCCAAAAAAGGCCATCAGAGCCACTCTCTGTTAAAAAATTGCTAAATACTACCTCAAAAAAGTGAGTGGGTGGCGAGAAGCATCGTCCTCCCACTGTTCAGCAGATCGTTGAAAAAAGTAGACGTAACTAGCTCAAAGCCTCCCATTCAGCTTCTCCGAGAAAACCAAGGCGCATCTAATAAACGAATACGAACCACGTAAGCATGCGAAAGAACATGTGGATCGTACCATCAGGAGCCAATGGGACCAGTTTTCGTGTATGGATGAGCGTTCTTACAGGCCTTATCATTGGCAATCAGAGCAATCAAGAAAAAGTGCTAGAGTACTTTAACGCTATTTAATTGCACTGACAAGGTATCTCAATTCCAAGTAAGCTCTCCATCTTAGACACCGGACTTTCACCACTCATCTAATGCGCATGCGAATGGTATGCCTACAACATTCTTAAATTAGGTTGGAAAGAAATCTTCCACAACAGCTTTACTCCAGTTTTGTTTATTAGTTTTATGCTCATTGGCTCACAGCTCCTGACTGGTCAATTCATCTACGTGATGTACCACCGCATCTTTGTCTCAACGCTCAAAAAATTTATCGCTGGCTTCTTTCAAAATCACAGAGTGCGGGTCAAGAAGGAAGCGGCTCACTTCACGAGTCGGAATTTGAATCGTCTAATTATTTTCGCCATCAAAGATATGATTTAAAGGTCCAGGATAGGTAGACAGTCAATTACAGCCCGACCAAGGGAATACGCTCAAAGAGGTAAAAATCTTAGCCGCAAGTCCAGAATTTCTTACCGGGCTCATTTCGGATAATGGCGAATCGCAATGGCCGATGTCAGAGTCTGCGATTGGAGCGATCGGTCAAATGCCAATCGCGCGACCATCGCGCGATTCGCGCGACGATCGCGCGATTGACATGAGTCCCATCATGACCAATCGCTCCAATCGCGCGATGGGCGCGATCACTCCCGTTGTGGCTGGCGCGCCCCTCTCGATCGATAGCTCAGTCAACGTATCGATCGAGGGGGGCGCGCCAGCCACAACGGGAGTGATCGCGCCCATCGCGCGATTGGAGCGATTGGTCATGATGGGACTCATGTCAATCGCGCGATCGTCGCGCGAATCGCGCGATGGTCGCGCGATTGGCATTTGACCGATCGCTCCAATCGCAGACTCTGACATCGGCCAATGACATGAAAGAAATAAATATTGTTGCAGTACGAGGGCTCCTGACGAGCTGCCTCGGCCAGCTTCTGGAGTTTCGCAGCCTAGACCTCTACCTACACAATGGTGCCCATAACGAAGAATTTGTTGAGCTTCCGTAAGAGCCCTTACCTGTAATGGAGTGTGTAGGACGCTGCTGGCTTCTTATAAAAATATCAAAAGATCGAAAGCGGCTGGTAAAGGTGAAATACGCTGTATCGCTGA